ATTCCCTGTCCATTGTCATTCCAGTCTTACATGTGTAGGTCTGTAGTTCCTGTGTGTGTGTGTGTGTGTGTGTGTGTGTGTGTGTATGTGTGTATGAGTGTGTGTGTGTGGTGCTGGGGATAGAACCCAGGGTCTTGTGCATGCAAGGCAAGTGCTCCACCATTGAGCTATACCCCCAGCCACTTTTATTTCACTTTGAGATTTATTTCACTAAGTCTCAAAGACTAAGTCTCACTAAGTCACCCATGCCAGGCTTCAACTCTAGATCCCCCTGCCTTCACCTCCCTGGTTGTGTGCCAACATACCTGGACTGGTAGTTTTCATCTTGATTCTGCGACTTTTTCATCTGCTCTGGCCTCTCTCTGTGGTCATAAGGAATTCTTCCTGTAGAATGTTCTCACATTTTCTTTCTAGAACTGCTCCAAGTTCACTCTTTAAGATGAGGACTCATCCTGTCCCTGCTACTCACAGCTCAGCAAATGCATTTCTGATAATACTGCTATTTCTACTCTCTGGATAAGTCACTTATTAAAATTTAATGATAATCACTTATATTTATAGCCTTTTTCAGTTTACAAAGCTCTTTTCTATCCATTATCTCTTTTAATCCTCACAGCATCTGTGAGAAGGAAATGTGTTGTTTTCCATTTTACAACTGAAGAAAATAAGGCTCTTAAGAGTATCATTGGGCTGGCAGAGTGGCTTAGGTGGTAGACTGCCTAGCAAGTACAGGGCCCTGAGTTCAAACCTCAGTACCTCACCACCAAAAAAAAGAAAAAAAAAGAGCAGCATTAGTGTCCTGGGCCATACAGCTAACATGTAACAGAGATGGGCTCAAATGCTGATCTTTTGGTTCCAATATGTCGGGAGTAGTCTGCTATCTTCTTTTTCTTTTTGGAGGAATGTAGGCAAGTTATGTGGGATTATTTCAATTGGCAATAACAAAAGCCTAACTAAAACTTGCTTAAGCAAAAACTAAATTTATGCCTCCTCCTCCTAACAGAACATTCCAGAACTAGGTCTTCATGTGTGCATGGAGCCAAGCGCTCAGACTTTATCATCAGAATTCTCTCTCCATTTCTCAGCTTCCTTCTGTGTTGACCTTACTCTTAGACATGCTGTCTGCTCGGGGTACTGCAGATGACCCCCGTAGGCATGGTTTATGACAAACCCAACATAAAGGGAATACCTTTTCTTCATAGCATGGAAAAACTGGAGCAAATGATCTGGATATCATTCTCAACTATTGGGCCTGGGATGAGACCAACCCGTGATCCAATCATTGTGTCCAAAATAATGGAGTATTCTCATTGTCCAGGCCTCCTGACCATTTGCTCCCTCTAGACAGGAAATGAGGGGTGTGTGTGTGTCACCAAAGCCAGGGACTGAATGAGGAGGAAAAGAGGTTCTTTGAAGAAAGAGCGCTGTGTCAGAAGAGGTGTGGGCAGATCTTCCCAGGGTGTCTTTGCTCTGCAGAGAGGAACCGGGGACCTATCTCAGCAAGAACTTTCAGTGGACTTTGTGTACTTTTTTTTCCAGGACTGCCTACTTTGACTCAGCAGATAGAGTAGGGAGCTAAAGAATAAGGAGAAACTTGGTATGTTCAGCTCAAGCTCCAAACCAGGAACTGATGGTAGGAGGTGGGAGATGCTCTTTGAGGATGGTCTTCCCTGCTTCCTCCTCCCTGAGCCATCCATCTCCCCCATGAAGCTGTGAGCTCCATTCACCTGTTTTACTACAGTCTTCTCCTCAGTGCCTAGCATACTGCCTGCACTTGGCATACCACAGGGGCCACACACGTATTTTTTGGAGGGTTGAATAAATTAGTGAGTCAGGTGGATCAGGTTCCTTAGCAGGACATTTCTTCCTCCCTGGATAAATCCATTTCCTTTTCTGGCTTCTGTTCCACATCTGTAATGTGAGAGGGCATGTAGAAGGAGCTCTTCCCAGCCCTTCAGCCAGGATTGCCTGGCCCTCAGGAGAGTCTGGAGGCCCTCTGGGAAGACACTGTGAAACTGGAAACCAAATTTATTGAGCACCCATATACTCAGGCCTAGGTAAAATGAATTCACATGTGTCTGAGGTCCCAAATTGTGGGATTTTATAGACCCGTAATACTGCCTATTTCTTATAAGGACATTAAAAAACAAAACAAAACAAAAAAACAACTTCTGAGGCTGGGGATGTAGCTCAGTACTTTAGTGTTTGTCTAGCATGCACAAGGCCGTGGGTTTGAGCCACCAAAAAAAAAACCAAACAAACTTGAATTAACTGTCACCTTTTTGTGTGTGTGGTGGTACTGGGGTTTGAACTCAAGTCTTCAAACTTGCCAAAGTTCTACCACTTGAGCCATGACTCCACTCAAATCACCATTTCCTTTTCTTTTTCTTTCTTTCTTTCTTTCTTTTTTTTTTTTTTTTTTTTTGCAGTACTGGGGCTTGAACTCAGGGCTTACACCTTGAGCCCACAGCACCTGCCCTTTTTTGTAATGGGTTTTTTCAAGATAGGGTCTCCCCAACAATTTCCCTGGCTGGCCTCAAACTGTGATCCTCACTGGGCACTGGTGGCTCATGCCTGTAATCCTAGCAACTCAGGAGGCAGACATCAGGAGGATGGTAGTTTGAAGCCAGCCTGGAGAAATAGTTCGCAAGACCCTAAAAAAAAAAACGCCATCACAAACAAGGGCTGGTGCAGTGGCTCAAGTTATAAGCCCTGGTTCAAGCCCCAGTACCACAAAAAAAGCAAAACAAAAAAACCTGCTGTCTTCCTGATTTCTGCCTCCTGAGTAGCTAAGATTACAGCTGTGAGCCGCTGGTGCCCAGGCCACCATTTCTTAAAGGAAGTAGATTTTTACACTAAGAAAGTAGGAAGTACATAATTTCCCATCCCCTGGAAATAAAAGTCATTTGGCAATCTTACATGATTGTATTTTGCAAGTAAATACAAATTTTGGCAGATTGACCCTTGTGTGGGTCCAGCACACACACACACACACACACACGAAGTGGTACTAAATTTGACCCCTTTACAGATGGGGAAACAGCTTTAGAGATCTCAAAGGGGTGGTGGAGTAAGTGGCTCAAGTGCTAGAGCACCTGCCTAGCAAGCATGAGGCCCTGCGTTCCACAAAGAAAGCTCAAGTGCAAGGTCACAGAAATAATGTTAGTCACACTTTGTCTTGACAGATCATAAGACGAAGGCTATGTTCTAGCAGGAAAAGAAGTGACCCAAGCTGGCTTCCTTGGAGTGTCCCTAAGGTGTTCTCTGGCTCAACCATGGACCTTGACTTTGATGTCTTGCTCTTTAGCAGGTCTTTATGGTGTGCCCACTTCATGCCAGGCACTGAGGAGGATGTAGAGAAGGAAAACAACTTCCCAGCCCCTTTCTCCCTGTCGCTTGGTACTCACCCTTGGTTCTGTTTCCCCCGGCCCAGCTCCTTGCACTGGCGGCCAAGGAATCCCCCACCGCAGGCGCTGGCTGCTAACAGCTTAGGGGGTTCCCTCTCCCAGGGGTGTTGGCAGTTTCCGAGGAGACTTTGGGAACCTTCAACGCCTCCCAGACCCAAGGGATTGGAAGCATAATGGTGCGACTTCAGGCACTGTAGTAGGTTGTCGATGGTAATTTGGAAACGAGATTCAGTTCAAACCCTATCAAATAACACTCCGGTCCCTCCCCCATTCCCATGGGCTTTTGGGGACCTAAAGCCTCACGACTCAGGTTGGAAGGAGGGAGTCCCAGAAATCAGGGGGTCCTACAGTGAAGGGGACTTATTACTCTGGCTGGGGGACCCCAGGGACCGTCCCCAGTCCTCCCCCTCTGGCTGGCAGAACCAGGAGCGCCCCTCCCCAGCTCCGCTCTGTTCAGCTTGCTCGCGCGGGAGCGCGCATCTGCTGTGCCGGTGCACGAGAGCGCGCGCCTCAGCGCGGGAGCGCGCCCCGGGGAGAACCCGAGCAAGATGGAGGCCGCGCCGAGGCCGCCGCCTGGGCCGAGGCAGCCGCTGCTTGGAGCGCCGAGCCCCGGCGCCTAGGCCGTGCCAGTCCCGGACCTGCTGCCTCGGACCCGGCCAAGGTTGGTCCCCCGCATCCATTCCCTCCGGCCGCAGCCTCTGAGCACATCCGGCCTGGGCGCGGGGCAGCCACCACCCCCACCCCGGCCCTACCCGGGCCCAGCTGCTCCCCAACCTCCGGGGGACAGCCCCTGAGCACCGCTTGCCCCTCAAGGCCCAGGCTGCCTGATGTCCCCAGTCCCTTGTCTCCTTGGCCTGCAAAGCCTCTCTCCCCAGCCCTGGCCCGCCAATCCTAGGCTTCCCAGCCCACATCCAGCCTGGCTTCTGAGGAGCATCCCCAACCCCCGCCCCGTGTCCAGACCCTGCAATCTCAGCCCCCGAGTCGACTCTAGCTTCATCCTAATTCCACCACATTGTCCTATTAGACCCTCATGCCCGCCCCCATTCCCTGCCCCGGCCCCAGTTTAACCTTCCCAGTCCTCCAATACCAGCCCCTTAATCCTACCCCCCATAAAGCACCTACTCAATTCCATAACCCCCTTTTTAAGACACCCAGTACCAGATCTCCTGCCCCTAATACCATCCCCCAAATTCCCTTCGAAGCTCCCTATATTCGGCGTCTCTTCTAATCCTCCTATAATGGTCTCCAGCCTCCATTCCGTCTCCAATCTTACCCCCAGTACCCGTGCCCAAGCTCCCTCTCCAACTCCCCTATGACCACTTTCTAGGTTCCTTCACTTGCAGCTCCCATATCCTCATCCCAGCCACCCCCCAACTTTCACATGGCCCCTTCCTAGGCCCCCCAGTAGGAGATCTTTGCCAGTCCCCCGAGACGCCGCCCCAACACTCTCAAGACCCCCTTCTAGCTCCCCCGTACCAGCCCCCAGATCCTCCAGCTCCGCCCCAGACCCCGCCCTCGCGAGTTCCTTGACTCAGGGCCGCTTCTCGCGTGCGTCCCCAGCTCCCGCCCGGCAGCCCGGCGGTCGGTCCCGGGCCGGCGGCCCCCGCCAGCCGCCGCCGTCGGCCCCGCCCCCGGGCACCATGCTGCCCTCGCAGGAGGCCTCCAAGCTCTACCACGAGCACTACATGCGGAACTCGCGGGCCATCGGCGTGCTGTGGGCCATCTTCACCATCTGCTTCGCCATCATCAACGTGGTGGTCTTCATCCAGCCCTACTGGGTGGGCGACAGCGTGAGCACGCCCAAGCCTGGCTACTTCGGTCTCTTCCACTACTGCGTGGGCAGCGGGCTAGCCGGCCGCGAGCTCACCTGCCGGGGCTCCTTCACCGACTTCAGCACCATCCCGTCCGGCGCCTTTAAGGCGGCCGCATTCTTCGTGCTGCTCTCCATGGTGCTGATCCTAGGCTGCATCACCTGCTTTGCGCTTTTCTTCTTCTGCAACACCGCCACGGTCTACAAGATCTGCGCCTGGATGCAGCTCTTGGCAGGTAGGGAAGGGGCTGGTGCGGAACCCCCAGAGGATGCGCTAGAGATGGGGGAATCCTTGGGAGAGTCAGAGAAAGATTCTTCTGCTCTGTGTTGGCTCACTTTTTGGCCAACCCTCAGCAGCTTTTGAGGCGGGGATTCAATGACACCTTTGGGAGGGAGCCTTAGAATTTGATATTTGGGTCTCTAGTCTTGGGGGGGACCTGCATTTATTGATGAGTTAGCATTATGTTAGTGCCGCTAAGAGTGTCTGATGGCTGTCTTTGTGGAAATATTTTTCTGAATGAGGGGTTACTTTAAGTGTGAAAGGTTTGTTATGTTGAAAAAAAAAAAAAAAGCGTGAGGCAGGGAACCAAGAGATCTGACTTGGATCTTTAACTCACTGACATTATCAGCTTGAGTGTTTTACTTTACTTTTCTCAGGCTTGGTTTCCTCGTCTGTAAAACAGGGGAAAGGATTCCAAGAGGACACATGGAAGTATTTGGTAAACTTTAAAGTCCTGTAATGAGGGTGAAGGAGGCTCTCTATGGCATCCATCTAATATTGGGGATGTGGGTGGATGTCAGCATCTGGCTACAGGGTGTCTGGAGGGAAGGTCTCCATCCTTTCAATGCCCTCTCCCCACATACAGGAAGGGTTCTTTGACCCCCAGAAATGTTTGATTAAGACTTAGTCATCTTTTCCTCAGAATCAGAGAAGTTGCCTTTTGGGAATGAGAAATGCTGAGACAGTTTTCCAGATCCATTAGACTCCTCCCCACCCATTTTTCGATTAAAGAACAATTTTGAAGATGCAGCAACCTGGGCAGTTACCTAATTGCAGGCATGGAGGACAGTTGGGCTGGGGGAGGGTCAAGGGGTGGCAAGATGGGGGAAGAAGACTGGTGGAGGCTATGGAAGAGTTTGGAGCACTTCAGGGATGAGAAAGAGAAGGGAATATGTGATAATCATGCATCAGAGATTTTTTTTTTAATAATAAGTGCCTTGGAACATGCAACAAGTGTCTAGCCCTCCAAAAGATGCCCTGGAGGAGCTGTTATATCACTTGCTGGGAACTCCACCACTCAGAGCTTTGTATAGAACTGGCTTTGTAGCACAGGGTGTATTCTCTTGAATGTCTCCATTGATGGGAAGCATACATCTTTTAAAGGACACATGTGATTTTTGGAAATGACTTGAAGTTACTCAAGGTCATTTGTTGAGAACATGAGGAGTGCTCAAATTTGAGAACTGTCAGTTGGGATGAAAGCCATGGTGTGATCCCAGAGTCATGAGCTGGTTTGCCTCCCCAGGCGGACGTCTACAAATGTAGGGCGAATTCCTGCCTCATTGGAAGAACTGCCCAAAATCCCAAAGGACTACTTTTTACACTTTTGTATTCAGATCTGGACATCCTAATGGCTTATTTTGAATCCATCTCAGCCCACTAACTTAGATGTGGTCTTTTCAAATCTTTGAAGAGTGTGCAGAATGAGAATTGTTGGATGTGGGGCTATGGCTCCATATTTTTCAGTTTTACTACAGAAATGATATCGTGTGTTTCCATTCTATTCCAATTTATTATTCCAATACAATAATAAATATTCAGCTAGAACCCACAGTTCAGTTTTAATTTGGACTGAGTCTGCAGTTGACCTTCAAATTCTCTCCAATCCCTGTGGTGGTTTAATCCTGAGATTTGAGGAACTGTCCAGCCACCTCCATGTAATCACTAAGATTCAAGAATCTTAGACATCAGCTCCTTTAAATTCTACTTCCGCCTCTCCCTGTCTTAGAGAGAGAAAGCTGAGAGCAGAGAAGCAAGGGGCTTGCTCAAAATCACACTGCTTGTGGGGGAAAAATTAGGCTCAACGTCTGGGTTTTCTGACTCCTGGCCCAGAACACTTTCCCTGTGTTACTGCCTCAACACTTAGGGCTGAGGGGGAAGTTGGCAGAGTTGAGAAGTTCATTGCACTTTGCTCAGGGATTTCTGAGTTCTCTGTTTTGCTTTGCTTAATAAGATGACAGACAGAGGCCAGAGCTTTGGACGATGAATCATGGCTGGGGAGTTCTTGACTCTGCCTGTGTCTTACCATACAGTATTAAGTCTTTTTTAATTTAAATCTTAGTTTTCTCATGAGGGGACAGAGGGACAGTCAGAATAGTTGATTTTGAGTCTCTCTGAGCTTTGTGGGACCCCTAGAACAACTCTCTCTTTTTTTTAATTTTTTTATTTTTTAAGGGGACTAGGGTTTGAACTCAGGGCTTTGTGCTTGAATGATACCTCCAGTCCATTTTATTCTGCTTATTTTGGAGATGGGGTCTCGCCAACTATTTGCCCAGGATGGCCTTGAACTGCAATCCTTCCAACCCAAATAGCTGGGATTACAGGCATGAACCACTAGCACCCGGCCCCTAAAACAACTTTTACACTAAGATCATTCTGTTCAGAAAGTGAGCCATCAGTCATCCCTAAAGGGACTACAGAGAAGCTAAGAACCTTGTTTGTGTCATCTAGGAATTAGAGTGCCTGTCATATGATTCTTGTTCCTGTGAATTTTTCTTGCAAAGAGCATTGAGGCACTGGAAAAATACAAAGAGATATTTATATGTGTTTATTTCTCATCTGCTCTGTGACCATCCTTGTGCTAGGTACTATAGTACTGAGGTACACAAGACATCACCCAAACCCAAGGCTCTGAAGTCTATGAAATGCAGTCTCTATACACACAGACCTTACTGTTTAGTTGGGTTGCTATATGCTGGGCTTGAACTCAGGGCTCATGCTTGCTAGGCAGGTACTCTATCTCTTGAGCAACACTGCCAGTTCATAGTATTGCAGTGACAGAAACTTAACTCATACCAGCTTAAATAAGTTAAAATAAAATTAAGAGCATTTGGTTTATTGGCACATATCATTTGAAAGTCAAGAGTATCTGGCTTCAGGCATGCATGGATCCAGATGCTCAAATAATGCCACAAAAAAATCTCTCTCTAGTTCTTGGTTCCTCTGTATTGGCTCATTTTAAGTCCACTTTCCTCTTGAAGATAACAAACAAGCCTACAGACAGCAGTGAATTTATATTGCTTTAGCTTGGCAATGCACATGGAAAAAAGAATGATACCAGTAAAAGTTCCAGGGCTGATTCTTTTATATACCCTTTTTTTTCCAGTGGGGTTTGAATTTGAACTCAGGGATTCTTCCTTGCAAAGCAGGAGCTCTGCTTGAGCCACAGTCCATTTTGTTTTGATTATTTTTTGGAGATGGGGGTCTCACAAACTATTTGCTTAGATTGGCCTTAAACTGTGATGCTCTGAGACACTGGCTCCGGGCTGATTCTTACTGGCCCAGCTACTTGTCAACCTTTTAATTAATCCTGGTGACTTCAAGGCCTGAGCAATGTGCCCATCCTTGGACTAGCACATGGATTGAGAATGGAGAAGGGTCAGTCCCACAGGGGTAAAAGCATGTGTGGTGACTAAGAGGGGAACCATGAGAAGGTGTGAGGCGTGAGAGGGCGTTCTGACCAGAGGGGAGGATTACGGGTGGAGGTGCAGAGGTGAGGAAGCCAGATATAACTTGAGGGTGGCATCCATGTCGAGGAACAGCAAGAGGACAGTCAGGCAGGAATGATGAGGGCCCCAGTGCGTGGGTCAGGGCAGTTGGAAGCTACTGTATTACTACTACTCACAGAAATAGTTAACATATTCTGAGCTTTTTACTATGTTAGACTATGTGCTAAATATTTCACATGCATAACATCATTCAGTCCTCAAAATAACCCTGTGGAGTAGGTAGCATCATTCATATTTTATGGATAAAAAAACTGAGGCTTGAGGAGGAAAAAATCATGGTCAAGGTCAGAAAGGTGGTAATTGCTAGAACCAGGATTGTAACTCAATCTTCTGACTCTGAAAGCCCAAGCTCTTGGCTAATTTAGGAAGATCGATGGTAAGGAGAATGTTAGGACATTTCTGACCGAATGCTGCACAGACAGGCTGGAAGAGCCAGGTGGAATTATGCAGGACTCAGCTTTTGAGGGCTTCTCAAGATATCTCAGCAACTGTTTTACCTGGTCATTTCCATTTACTGAGAGCACACATTGCACTAGCTTCTATGCTAGATGTTTTCACTTTCATTGGGTCATTCAACATTCCTCTGTTAAAATGACTTGCTCAGAGGGTCACACATCTAGTAGAAGGTGAGTCTAAAAGGATCTAGAACTCATTCTTGACACTCAGCTGGAACCTGGGAAATGAATACACAGATTACAAGTTAGAGCTCTAAGCTTCAGGTATGAAATGTTGCCAGTGGGCTGGGTGAAGTTTGCCAAGGGGAGGTTCCTGGCAGGAGTCCTGGCAGGAGAGGGCAATGTGGCCTTGGAAAAGTGGGTTTGCCTCTCTGAATCTCAGCTTCCTTATCTGTAAAATGGAGTTGTTATTGCACCTATTTCAGAGGGCAAGAGAAAAAAAATGAAATAATGTGTATATAATGTTGGGTGTGTTTTTTTTTTCTTTTTTTGGGACAGGGTCTCACTATATAGCTTAGGCTGGCACTGAACTCAAAATCCTCCTGCTTCAGCTTCTCAAGTGCTGGGATTACAGGTGTGAACCACCATGCCGGGCCTGTGTGTGACTCTTGGTGTGGACTAAGAGCTCAGTAGATTGTTGCTGTTATTATGACATCATCTGAGTATAGAGCAATTTGTAAGTGTGCACTTGGTGGGATGACTAAGGGACTTGCGAAGTCACCCACTGTCAGCTGGAAAAGGTCTTACCAATGGACTTGCCCAACTCCTCCACTTGGCAAATGAAGGACCTGTATCCCAGAGAGCAGACAGCTGTGGGGTCACAGAGTGAACTTGAAGATAGGCCCCTCCTTTGGCTATGGAAGGGAGATTTTTCTGACCAGTTTGCTCAATACTGAGTGCTTCCATGTGTCAGTCCTTGCCCTGGTGTGGGGGTCATAGCAGAAGACAGAATGTATGAGATGAGATGGAAGTTGGGGAGACTGAGGCTGGAG